TAATTGGTACTACAAAACCCTGAGCGGGTGCAACCAGCTGGGCTGGATGTGCCTCCGGTTTCTGCAATCCCTGAACAACTTGCTCGGGTGTGCGGGCGGCGGGAGTCTGAGTGCCTCCACCGGCCTGAGAAGTGGCTGCGGTAGTAGAAACTGTGACCGCCTGAGAAAGACTAGTGCATACGGTCAAGATCTGAGCCAAGGTCTCCTGAAGACCCGGAATGACAATAAGCACAGCGGGTGCCTGAGCTGGTCCCACTGGAGCATCCCCCACTGGAATCTGATCATGAATTGGGGCGACTGGTGGATATGCAGGTGCTGTCCCCTTTGCTGTACGGGCTACACCCCTGCCCCTACCACGGCTCTGACCGCGTCCTTGGCCTCTAGTGGCCCCAACTGGTGGCTGTCCGTCCTGACTGGTAGCACGTGTCCTCACCAACTGTAAGAGAATAGAATAACATAAGTTTAGCACTAGAATTAATAGATTCGCACGACAGGAATTTCAAGAATGTGAAGTCTTCCTAAAGGTTCCACAACCTCCCGAGAATAAGTACAGACGTCTCCGTACCGATCCGCGAGACTCTAAACCGGCTCATGATCCGTGAGACCTATGTAACCTAGGCTCTGATATCAACTTGTCATGACCCCAAATACCCCCGGTCGTGATGGCGCCTATCACAGTCTCAAATTCTTCATAAGAAATATATAAACTAATAGAAATATGCAGAAAACCAAAACCAAATATACCAACACCAACCCGAATCCGGTGTCACTAGTCATGAGCCTCTAAGTACAACTAAAACACTGTCAGAATAATACAAAATAGTCTGAAATAACAAAATGCTAAGATAGGAAGGAGAAAGGCAGGACTGCGAACGTCGTGCAGCTACATTGCAATCTCCGGATATGACTCTGAGAGGGCTGGAAGCTCTCACTCTGATGCTCGGGCACCTGGATCTGCACACAAGGTGCAGGGAGTGACGTGAGTACGCCAACTCAGTAAGTAACTAACATAAATAGAGTCTAAGTGCAGTGACAAGCTGTTAAAATCATATAAGAAATCTCAACATAAATATCAAGTCAAAATCCGCAGTTCAATAGCCAGTTATCTCGTAAAACTCCAGTTTCCATTAAAATCCTGTTAAGACATTTATTCAACATTTTTCAACAGAGGTTCAGAATAAAAGTAGAGTGAAAGCAGCATAATGTCATAAACAAGCCCCTCGGGCAAGGTATCACTCATAAGTATAGCCCCTCGGGCAAGCCTCTCAGTCACTCGTGACTCAGCTCTCGTCAATTAGTACTCACACTTAGCACTCCGGCTCAATAGATATCTCATAATAATAATAATAATAATAATAATAATAATAATAATAATAATAATAATAATAGCAATAACCGCTGCGGCGTGCAGCCCGATCCATAGTTTATAGTCGACTACGCTCACTGGGGGTGTACAGACTTCGGAGGGGCTCCTACAGCCCAAGCGTCATATTGCTGTGGCGCGCAGCCCGATCCAAACCATATCGCTGCGGCGTGCAGCCCGATCCATAGTTTATAGTCGACTACGCTCACTGGGGGTGTACAGACTTTGGAGGGGCTCCTACAGCCCAAGCGTCATATCGCTGTGGCGCGCAGCCCGATCCTCACCATTAGGTCCTCAACATCTCTCGGTCATTAACCTCACGGCCTCTCGGGCATATTGGTGAAAATCAGGGAACTCAGCCCAAATAGTTTTCATATATTAAGAAGTATAGTAATGAAACCGGTTTTAAACAATAAACAGATAAAACATGACTGAGGATATGCTTTCATATCAAATAGGGTGAGAAAAGTAGCAAAAATACCCGGAAGGGTCTAAACAGGTCGGCACAAGGCCCCAAACACGGCGTACAGCGCAAAACATAGGATAAATCTCTAAAATACGGGATATCATAAGAATTTCAATCAAATACGCGGCTTAATAGCCGCTACCGGACGGACCAAGTCATAATCTCTACCGGTGCACGCCCACACGCTCGTCACTTAGCATGTGCGGCACCTCATTTATCAAAACAATACGAAATATCAGGGTTTCATACCCTTAGGTCTAGATTTACAATGGTAACTTACCTCAAACCGGATGAAATACTACTCCGCGATGCCTTTACCTCTCGACTCAGCCTCAACTCGCGCCGGATCTATCCAAAATCAGAATCATAACATTAGAATATGCTACGGGAACGAAGCCCATGCGAAAATAATCAAATTACATCAAGAAACCTGAAATTGACCAAACCCGACCCCCGGGCCCACGTCTCAGAATCCGATAAAAATCACGTCAATAGAACCCTTATTCTCCCACGAGTCCATACATACCAAGAATACCAAAATCCGACCACAAATGACCCCTCAAATCCCTAAATTTAGGTCTCCAATTTCCAAGCCCTAAACCCCCAATTTTAACCACTAATTACCACAAATTTCAAGCTTAAACAATTAAAAACCATCATAGAAACAAGTTTAGGGTCCAAAAACCTTACCTCCACAAAATTCTCTTGAATTCCCTCTTCAATTTGCTCTCCCAAGCTCAAACCCATATGTGAAAATGGTGGAATAACCAAAAATTCGCGAAGGAGGACTTATATACTTTCTGACCCAGGGTTTTCGCACCTACGGTCCCATTTATGTACCTGCGGTACCGCTTCTGCGGTTTCCACTTAAGTCCCTCAAAACCGCACCTGCGCATCCACTTCCGCACCTGCGGTCTCGTAGGTGCGCTGAGCCTTCTGCACCTGCACCTTCTGACCATCCTTGCCCATGGCCGCATCTGCGGCTTCTCTTCCGCTTCTGCGATCCCGCACCTACGGTCCCCAATACGCAGGTGCGGTTATGACAGCAAAATTAGCAGCTTCAGCTGTACAATTATAACTCTCAACTTCCCGTCAACCATCCAAAATCACCCCGACGCCCCCGGGACCTCAACCAAAGGTACTAGAAAGTCACATACCACTATCAAACTTATACCAATCTTCGAAACACCCAAAACAACATCGAATCATCAAATACCCTCGGATTCAAGCCTAAGGATTCCAAAAACTTTCGAATTCCGCTTTTGATCAAAATGTCTATCAAACCTCGTCCGAATGACCTGAAATTTTGCACACACGTCCCAAATGACACAACGGACTTACTCCAATTTCCGGAATTCCATTCCGACCACTATATCAAAATCTCCGCTACCAACCGGAAAAATGCCAATATTCCAATTTCGCCAATTCAAGCCTAATCTACCCCCGGACCTCCAAAACACATTCCGATCACGCTACTAAGTTCCAAATCACCTCCCGAAGCTATCCGCATCATATACCCGAATTCCGAGATCGTTTGCTCACAAGTCAACTTCCGATTGACTTTTCCAACTAAAAGGCCAACTTAAGAGACCAAGTGTCTCATTACTCTACCAAACCATTCCGAACCCGAACCAACCAACCTGGTACCACATAATACAGCTGAACAAGACATAAAGAAGCAGAAATGGGGAAAATGAAGCGGTAACTCATGAAACGACCGGCCGGGTCGTTACTAATAACATACAATATATTATTGTACCAACAAAATCAACACTAAAATAAAGTACCAAACTAGTTAATTACCTTAACAGACTTATTAACATGTGTCTTCATCTTTTTTCGACTAGCTTTAATATTTTTCTTCATCTTTCTCTTAAAATTAACCTGATCTGCACGTATAATGTCTTCAAGTTTGGCAGATACCCTCTGAAAAGAAAAGAAAAATGTTAAGAATTTCAGCATCATAACACAGAAACATTCTTATCGAGTGTAAACACAATTCAAAAAGGTTAGCATATAATTTTGTATGGTAAATTATTAGAACTGAAAAACACAGTGAAATGAAATATATTATACTTATCCAATATCATATACTGATAGAGTATATAAGGGGTATCCAATATATTATACTATTGGAGTATACTGTATGAATATATTAAACTCATAAAGTATATTAAAATGATTGAGTGTTATAATCATCCAGTATAAATATTATTCTGATCTAGTAAATTATACTAATCGAGTATATTCCACTTCCAGTAGAAAAAACTGGAAAATAAAGCTTCTGAGAACAGACTCCCAGAATAATATATTAAACTCATAAAGTATATTAAAATGATTGAGTGTCATAATCATCCAGTATAAATATTATACTAATCTAGTAAATCACACAGAGTAAGTATATTCCACTTCCAGTAGAAAAAACTGGAAAATAATGCTTCTGAGAACAGACTTCCAGAATAATATACAGCAAACAAAATTTGAAACGCAAGTTATTAGAACAAAAATCTAGTATACGATAGTAGAAATTAATGAAAAGCAAGACTAATTAAAATCAGAGAAACAACAACTTACATTCACAATGTCGCTAACATTAACTTTTGATAAATGTTGGAGAAGATATGATGGATTCACCATGAAAACCTTAAAGTTCTATTAAATAAACAAAAAGATAAATAATTAGATTAAAACAAAATATATGAGCACAGATATATGATAAACAGTCACATACTATTAACTTACACTTGCTTTAGTAAAGAAATCATTGTAAAGTGTGTCATATTTTGGACATCTAATGTTTGAGTAAGACAACATCCTAATTGGTCCCCGATCCTCATATTTTGAAAATTGACGGAAACAATTAAACACTTCCATTATCCATACATTAAACAAAAATGGGAATCCAAGCGTCGTATAAGATGCTATCCTACCAATTGGTTTCTTTTTCACTGACTCAGTTGTTAGAAGATGAGACAAATTATCAATAAGCTCATCAAAACAGAAAATGCCCCATGGAAAAGAAGCACAAAGTTCTTCGTCATTTATGATTTTCATAGAACGATCACTTATATTTCTACTATAATCTTTACCCAAAAGAACGGCTTCTAATAGATAAATCTGAGCAAGCTTTACTGCATCTTCATCGCAGACCTCATCTGCTGCACCAGCACGGAGTCGAGAACGCTTTTGCATAAATTTATACAAAGTATCTACCTTCACACCCTTTTTTACATCAGAGAAATACCGTTATTTCAAATGGTTCTCTCTAGCATCAACGAAACTATAATCGGATGCCTCAATCTTAAGCACGGTAATAGTATGGAAATCATCTTCTATAAATGCTACATCGTTCCCAAAAACTTTAAAAACCATTTTGCTTTTATCCTTGTAAAAAACTTGAGACAGCAACATACAATGAGTCAACTTCCCAGAGTGACTCACTTCATTCAACTCTAAAAACTTCCCAAATACACTGTTCTTTAACACATCCATTTGAGTTCCGGACAAAAAGGACGAAATAGTTTGCTTAAAATTTCGATTGCCTCTCCAATAACAATCAGCAGGAAACCACTGGTTAAATTCATAAAATGTATCTCCCTCCTAAATTCAAAATACAACACATATAAGCAACATTTCATATAATTTTAAGATAAAAACTTCAACATTTCAGAAATACGTACCTTCAATATACTACTTGAGGATTCCATTTCTATAAAATCATGAAAACAAGTATATTACAAATTAGATTAGTAAACACAATCAGAATCCATTATATATAACAGAAACAAAGTATAAACAGAACTCATCCAGTATAATGAACTGGACAACAAAGCCTACAGATGGCAGTCTTCCAGTATAATATCTTGGATCAAATTAATTAGAAGGAATGAAATTCCAGAAACAAATACTGGGGTATAAAGAAGAAACATAATCAAAGAGCATACTAAAAAAGAAAAATACAAATAATCATTCAAAAAAATTAATAACAAATAAAACAAAATTATAGTCTAAACAGAACTCATGCAGTATAACATACTGGACAGCAAACTTACACACAGCAGACTTCCCGTAAAATATATTGGAATCAAACAAAACTCAACTATATTATAATAATCATCCATTATAACATACTGGAAGACAAACATTCACAGGACAGACTTCCAGTATAATATACTGGACAAAATTTATCACTAAACTCGATAAACAAAAAACATAATCAAAAACCACACAGTATAAAAAACTAGGAAACAAGCCTTCAGAAGACAGATTTCCCGTATAATATACTACATCAAATTTAAATATGAAGTCCAGCACATTGTTCTGGATTTCAAGTTTTAACAAGAACTGGAGAAATCTATAATGCAATTGAAAGAAAAAAGTACTTGAAAAATTAACCCTAATAACATACTGGACAACAAGCTTAAATATGGCAGACTTCCCTTAAAAGATACTGAAATCAAACAAAACTCAAGTATTATATACTGGATCAAAGAGCATAATAAAAAAAAAAGACAAATAATCATTCAAAAAAAGTAATGACAAATAAAACAAAATTCTAGTCTAAACAGAACTCATCCAGCATAACATACTGGACAACAAGCTTACAGACGCCAGACTTCCCATAAAAAATACCGAAATCAAATAAAACTCAAGTATTACATACTGGATCAAAGAGCATATTAAAAAAGAAAATGACAAATAATCATTCAAAAAAATTAATGACAAATAAAACAAAATTCTAGTCTAAACAAAACTCATCCAGTATAACATACTGGACAACAAGCTTACACACAGCAGACTTCCCATAAAATATACTGGAATCAAACAAAACTCAACTATGTTATAATAATCACCCAGTATAACATACTGGAGACAAACATTCACAGGACAAACTTCCAGTATAATATACTAGACAAAATTTATTACTAAACTCGATAAACAAAAAACATAATCAAAAATCACACAGTATGAAATACTGGGAAACAAGCCTTCAAAAGACAGATTTCCCGTATAATATACTATAGCAAATTTAAATATGAAGTCCAGCACATTGTTGTGGATTTCAAGTTTTAACAAGAACTGGAAAAATCTATAATGCAGTTGAAGCAAAAAAATACTTGAAAATTAACCGTAATATACAGAGACTAGAAAACTATTTAAACAACTTATCAAAACAAATTACACAACGATTACAACATTACAACATAAAACTAATAACAGAGTGACAAAATTATCAGAAATAAGACGAACTAATGAACAGAGAAAAAATCGTAAATGTTAAAATACCACAAATATTTAAACGCTAACAGTACGGAAATCAAACTTAAACCTAACGAAACAACAATAACAACGAAAATTCAAACACAGTATTGTAAAAACAACACTCACCCAGATAATTTTGAAGAAAATTGGACCTAACCCAGACAAGATTCGAAGAAAAGTGCTCTCACGAAAACGAAATTCGTACACTGCTGTAAAAAGAAAGAGAAGGGCGATAAAATATGAAAAGTAACTAAACAGGATGTTAAAAAGTTAAAGGGCAATTATGTCATTTACTAATATATTTTAAGTTAAAATGGCTAGAAATAGATAACATTAGCGATGGTGGCTATTTTTGGATAGCCAACCGTAAAAATGGCTACGCCATGCCATTTTAACGCCGGCGTTGATGCTGATAAAAAAGGAAACATCACAGCACCAATTAGTCAAGCATTTGAAGCCCATTGCGTGTTGGTACATAACTAAACAATCATTGTGATGTCAAGAAACATATCAATAAAAGAGCTTTAATCGTGCATGTCCAGTATATTCAAATTACCCAACATAAAATGGTGCGTTAAATCACACAACATGAATTGCTGAGATATGGATACCTTGTCTTTCCGGTATGTATAAATTGACTGAAAAACTCCATACTTGATGGAATTAGGATCTTGAGAAATCGAAAGCTCTTTTACATGTTATGCATTTGAAGCTGAAGAAGTGAAAAAAATTTCCCAAAAATAAGTTTGCCTCCAAGCCTGAAGAAAGCACGAATTCAATACATCGACATAAGTTGCAAAATAATGCTTCTCAGTGAAACCGTATCTTTCAGACATCTCCAACAAGAGATGTTGTCCCTTTCCATTGGACTGACAAAATGCATTACATGGAAATGATTGATGCTTATTGAAGGCCCTAAACAATCAAAGAGGGGTGAAGCCATGATTCGAACTTTATGGGTTCTAAATTCTAGTATTGCGATATAAGGTGTTAGTAACTAGGTGTATACAATTTAGTGGATCTTTTTAATATATATACAAGGTAAAACCATCAGCGAAAATTCAGGGAAGAGAACCTTAGCCCTGCAATTTTTCTACATAACAAATTTATGAGTTCATGGAAGGCAAAGAAGATTGCTTGACGAACCATATCTGTACTACGTGTAACACTGATACAATCATTTTTATCTGGACTACAAATACAGAAATTAAAACTTAACCTGCAAATACTGGATACTAGGAAACACCGTTCCCGCTTATAGACAAGAAATGCGAATTCCCAAGAAAAAGAGATGTGTGAGAATTCATCTTAAAATACCAATTTACTAAGATTCCACCAATGCTGATAAAAAAGGAAACATCATAGCACCAATTATTTCCATAGTATCGGGCCTTATTTATTTGTTATTGTTATTGCTTTTTATCTATTTTCTGGTTCTTATATCGATGTTATTATTTCTATGGTTTCAGTTGATGGTACTGATGTATTTGTCTCTTTTCGTTTTGTTGAGCCGAAGGTTTTGCGGAAACCGCCTCTCTACCCCCTTGGGGTAGGGGTAAGATCTGGGTCCCCAGACCCCACTTGTGGGATTTCACTGGGTTGTTGTTGTTGTTGTTGTTATCATAGCACCAATTAGTCAAACATTTAAAGCCCATTGCGCGTTGCTACATAGCTAAAAAGTCAATTGTGATATCAAGAAACATATCAACAAAAGAGCTCTTATCTAAAGTGCAGTATATTCAAATTACCCAACATAAAATGGTGCGTTAAATCACACAACATGAATTGCTGAGTAATGGATACCTTGTCTTTCCAGTATGTAAAATTTGACTGAAAACTCCATACTTGATGGAATTAGGATCTCGAGAAGCCCATAGCTCTTATACATGTATGCATTTGAAACTGAAGAAATGAAAATATTTCCCCCAAATAAGTTTGCCTCCAAACCTGAAGAATGCACAAATTCAATACATTGATAGCTCGTCGGGTCCTTAACGGAGAGAAATTTGGAAGTTGTTTCTATCTTAACAACGAAGCTTCACGCTGTCATACTGAAATTAGAATGATTCCTATCTCTTTACTAACTCAAAAATTAGGAAGTAAGAGAATTGAACATGAGATGCTACAACATGCACGATTTTCTCCAGCTCTATAATATAATTGCATCCATAATTCAACCGCTTTATGTGAAGGCTTCTTTTTTGCTAGAAGTAAAAGATAAAAGATAAGGAAATCAACAAACAAAACAACCAAACGAGACAATGGCTGGCTCTGGCATTAGCAACTGCTGACCATGACGACTCTTCAAAATACCTCCCGTGGAATATAAATTTATGGGTTCAAAACCTTTAGGTTATTACCATTGAACACATTACACATTTGAATTTACGGCTTCAAACTTTTATAAATTTTTAAACATTAGTGATTTTCCAGTACTGGATTCGGTTGAACCCACTGATTATACTCTCCATCCGCCACTGCTGTGCACTCATTAAAATCATTTAGTTCATCAGATCACTTAGTCAAGAAACAAAAGCAGAAAGATTGAACATAGCGGATCACATGACACATTGCCTCTAAGAAGTTTGTTGCATTCTTGCAGAGTACTGTAAGCGGTAAACTAAAATACTCAATACAGGTTCTCTACTAAATCCACATTAACAACAAAAAGATGAACTTTTTACCAGAACCAGCATTATCAACTACTCTAAAGGATTACTCTTATGGATAACAAAGCAACAAAAGGTCAAAGTAAAACCGTCAAAAGAAATGGATTAAGGAGGGTTATTTTTACCTCAACAGAAGCATCAAAACTTAGAAAGCACGGGGATAGGTGAGCCAAGAGTAGGAGTAATCGATCCTGCTCTTTCTCGGGCCTTGCGGTCTTGAAACCACTAATTTGTGTAGAATAGTCTCCAACCTATATCAGGCAATAAGTGATGTAAGGCTAAGCTATCTAATTCGAATCCTGAACAACATCTATAAAATTAGACATGGAAAAAAGTGAAGACAATGCATAACTAGAGGAAAAAATGAAGACAATGAGATATTACAGTACTGAGAGAGGAAATAATAGCAGTTTGAAGGAACGGGGCATAGCAGTCCCACTGAGTTGGAGAGCAAAAAGGACAAAAAAAGAAACAGCTTGAAAAGGAAAATCCTGTAGGAGAACCTGTAAGGATAGACCAAAGAACAAAAGCATTCAATGCTGCTAGGTCTGATGAAACTCAAGAAAGGAACACGAGGTAGTGACAAACAATTTTTCGACATATCAGAAATAGTACCTCATGTGTAGTTAAAAATCAGGTTAGAAAATGGATGGACTAGTTAGCAAATAGATATGGACAAACCATTTTCTCGAAATATTCATCATTTAAGTGAACCAAAAATGACTTCACTTTGTCTTCTGGTGCTTCAAAAGTTGAATAGGTTAAACATATTAAGAATATCTAATGAGATTGCACCTCAATGTCTCACTACGAACTTGACCCCAAAAACGTCCTCACACGAAAGATACCTGAAAGGTTTAATTGGGAAAAATATGGATTCTCTCCTACAATAATCAAGGCCTCAAATGTCTTACAACAGGTACTTCACAACCCCAAAGATTTCTTCATCTTTTAAAGAAAACAACAATTCATACTTCATCATTCAAAACGGAAGAAAGAAGCTCTAATCCAGCAAGTAAATCGCTTGCGTTCATACTTTCTTTTTGATGAAAAAGAAGTACTGAATCTGAAAATAGAATGTTACACCTCTAAATAGATGTGCAATCTAGATGAAAGAATACCAATTCTAGGTAATGATACTTGCCTGGCTAGTAGTATCATGTATCTGATATTTTGGTAAGGACATCCGTATTTCCTCCTACAAATATACCACATCGCCATTCAGTATATACAAATAAAAAATTATGAATTCCATGAAAACAGTGAACACTAAAAACCCTGGAAATACGAATGAGAATGTGAACTTTTGCTAAGTTTTGAGGGGCAGTTAAGTCATACAAAGTGTTACCCACATCGTCCAACAGCTGACCTTATAAAAGACAAGATTGATATTCTCCCACATTATACCTCTATTTGAGGCTAACAAAGAAGATGCATAGAATGATAGCACAGAATCAGTCATGTCAATACAGTTGAAGTGAAAGCCTAATTTGGGGAAGAAAAAGGATGTGTCCTTTTCTATTTGCTTCCACAACGATTGGCATCACAAGACACATCTTATGCTTTGAAATCCTTGTAAACTTCTCACTAACAGGTTGACTATCAAATTACGTCATCAGACACAAGTTGCACTATACAAACAACAACAATAACAACAACTCAGTGAATTCACACAAGTGGGGTCTGGGGAGGGTAGTGCGTGCACAGACCTTACCCCTACCCGGGGGAAGAGAGGCTGTTTCCGATAGACCTTCGGCTAAAGTATGCAAAAAACAACAGAAAAAGAAAATACTATAGTGTTTTCTTGTATGCACCTATAGACGTAAACTGCTGGAAGTCAAAGCAGTGAGCCTGGAAAGTGCAGAAATAACTGGTTTTAGAGAAGGGCATCTTGAAAAAACTAAATTCTATGCCATTTCCTTCTTCTCCCCTTCTCATCCAACAGTCTACAACAAGTGAATTACAACTAGCATAGGAAATGTAGGAAGTTCGATAAGCAGATACTTCGACATCAGAACAACAACAGGCAGTAAACTTCCCAAATTGAATTCATGTAGCTACAGCCACATTGGCAATCTATGAGTAGTTTTTTTAATATCACTACTAAAGATCCTTTTGGGAAGAACCAAGATCCGTTGTTACCAACTTTGAAACTCATGATAATGAGCCCATTCATCTACCCTTCTCCACTTAGATACTAGACTTAGTTCACCAGACAAAAGAGAACTTGTTACGTACATCTACTACACATATCAAACTAGTGGAGGCTGCTGTTAAAGATCCAAAATGTCAAAGCCAACACATAATCCCTGCAACTACATATGCATAAAATTTTATTACAGTTTTCCAGGATACATGTTTCAATTAAATAAAAGAAAATTATAATTTTTAGTAAAAGCAAACAGAAAAAGAATGTTGACAAAATTATACAAGTGGATCACTTTATTATGCATATGCCAGAAATCAAACTGTGTATAACAAGAAAGATCATCCAACTCATAAGCCCAAAAAAGTAAGTACCCACAATACTAATGCTTCAAGGTATCAGAGGGAATCTTGAGTAGATATTGACA